AGTCCAGGGGAGTGGAGGTGGGAGGCCAGAAGCACACTCACTGGTGGCTGCACTTGAACTGCACAGAGCACAGCAGAGACCTAATCCATGCAGAGCTAATTCTTAAGATAGGTTATGATTCTTAGCCTTATAGTTGTCTAACTTGGTTTTCTCCTTTCAGTTCCTTCTCATCCATCATGTTGACCACACAGGTACTGATGAAAGAAAACAAACCTACTTGAAACCTAAGTTAGACATCAAATGGCTGCCAAGAGTGGTTAGAGAAGGGGAGGGCGCTGCCTAGCACTAGAGAGGCAGCCATAGCCCCCTGGGTGGGCAAGGGGAGCCCTAGTGCTCCAGTCCTCAGGGGGTGCAGCTCTCTGACCTCTCATAGCAGCATGACAAGAAAGGAAGAGCCCAGGCTAGGAGTCAAGAGACTGGGTCCTGGCCTGGTTTTTCTAGGGCATGTGACCTTGGTCCAGTTCCCCCTCTTCACAGACCCAGGTCCTTCCCCTGTAAATGCCTAGGACTACTCTGAACTCTAAAATCCTATGAGCTCTTGCATTCCCTTGAGAGTTTTAAATCAGTTTTGGTGGTGCTTGGCACTCCAATCAATAGACACCAGTTTCTTGACAGACACATAAAACCAAAAGCAAAATAAATCACTCTAAGTAGGAATAATATAAGACATTGTTAATTTTTATAAACATGCTTTAAACCGAACTAGGGCATAAACCACTCTGGTTCAAGAAAAAGACAAAATACTGAAACAATCTTCTACTTCAATGCCAACAATGTGTTCAGCCAAATTAACTGAAAAATTTAACTCATTTAATAAGACACTTCCTATTCATAAATCAAAGAGCATCACTAATACCTAGAATAACAGAATGTCAGGTCTTAGAGATCATCTAGGGCAACTGACTCATTTGACTGATGGAAAATCAAAATGCAGACGAGGCAGGCAACATGGACAAGGTCATAAAGGCAAAACAGGAATGGGAACCCACATTCCACATCTGCTTGGGTCTGCCACATAGTCAGTGCTAACTATTTGATGATGAATGAAGTTTAGTGGTACTGCCTACAATGCACAGTTCCTCTAACTGGTTCACAAACAAGTGATTTCCAGGTTATGGAGATTTCCTAGTACACAAGTATTTCAAAATTCTACTTTTAGCTCCTTAGGAGCCAGATTGGAATTTCTTAGCCTTTTCCACCTAAGCTAACAGTTTTCCCAACTGAGGAAACCACAGGGCAAAGAAATCACCTCTGGAAACCTGGAGTCTTTCACTTGGTGCCAGAGAAACAGTCTAACTGCAGCTTTAGTCAAGTGTTTACACCAATTATCAAACTGACCCAAGTCACAGACCTTCAAAACATTGGATTAGGGACAAGGAAAAGGTCTGCTGACAACAGACCTCTTCTGCTGCAGAACCCTAAGAATCTCAGAAATCCCTTTTCTGGGAGGGTTAGAATTGCAGCAGCAAGAGGTAGCAACTGGGGTCTAGGAAACTGGTTTGCGAAAAACAAACACAAAAGCAAAAAGAACTGGGAGTCTGGAAAGAGAGGTGGAGATGGAGGCCCGGGCAGACGCTAGGGGCTGGTTAGGCTGCAAGCTCCCCCGGTGAAGCCAGGTGGTTCAGGGCTCCGGGCTCTGAGCTGGGGCAGCAGCCGAGGAGAAAGGGGGAGCCAGGGCTCATCGCCTGCGCCAGGTTAGGGGACCCAGGACTTTGGGGGCCGTGCAGGGAGGGGCCGGGGGGGCAGGGTCCCCGGGCTGGGCGGTGTCCCCGGGC